TTTATTTTATTTTACTTATATTATGTTTTCAGCCTGGAAAACTGTTGAATACAGTACAACTTCCAACATTTTCTGTTTAAGATAACGTAACACGAGAATTTAGTGTCTCCGCCTTATAAGTGCGTCACATACCAAATGTACCCCCAGCAGGTCACATTTAGCTTCGTTATTTTAAAAATTAGAGTGAATTGACTTGACTTATTATGAAACTTGATGGTAAGAACATCTGTGTTTGTATATGGGTTATTTACAATAACTCAGTTTTTAAGTGAGTTAATTTACGCTATATTATATACGCAAAACTTGCTAAAAAATTACCATAAAAAAAACCTTATACAAACACAGGCAATGTTTTTATATCATCGCAAGTTTCATCTTTCATAATAAGTCGATTCACTCTTATTGTTAAACTAACGAAGTCAAACGTGATCTGCAGAACGTAAGTTTACGTAAGACGGGGACAACAAATGCCAGTTAGTGTTATTTAACGAAATATTTTTGAAAACCAAACCAAATTAGAATCAAATTTATTTAATTATATTTAACGAATGTCTCTATAATACTATTTTTTTTTTGCTGACGATACTTCGTTAAATGGAAGTTTCACAGTAGTTATTTAAAATAACTTTATAAAAACATTTTAAATTACAATAATAAACAAGTTTTATAATATCACTAAACTGAAAATAATTTTTGTATAGTACCTAACTTTGTTGTTTAATACAGTTGTAGTAATATTAATATTTTTAATAGAAGATACACATTTTATTTTAATTAAAGTGAAATTTAATGTATTTTTATATACCCATACGAGTAAACAATAGTCAATTTGCATGACGTGTGGTTGTAAATGTTTTATACTTTTATAGTATCATTGATCCCGTTCTATACCGTTTAACTACCTATAGAAAAGTCAATGTCTTCTACTTTTAGGTACGCCCATGTACCTAAAACTAAATGACTTCAACTTTTGAATATTTTATTATATACCTACCTATTTTAGTGATTATAATAATTATATATTATATGCATGCTTCAAATGTTTTTTGGTTGATCATTTTTGATAAAAAATAAATACTGTGTATAATGAATTCACACTGTAGATAGTATTTAATAATAATATTAATAATATTATATTCCTTCATTTTTATACTCGTTTTTATATTATCAATCTCTCATACTAATTTTATTTTACTTTTTAATAAATATGCTGGCAGGCTATAGATATCGTGAGTATAAGGCATTTTACTCACTTTGGTGCAAAATATTAGATGTTCTGTTAAACAATTTAAAAATGAGTTTATATAATTTATCATGTTAAAAAAAGATCTTGAACGTACTTCGAAAATAATTGTGCTTTTACTTGTATTTCTTCAAAAATTTTTGATATTTGGCTGTCAGTAGCTTTTCATTGCGCTTAGAGTTCATATTGTTATAATAAAACTATTGAACTCTTCAAAGCACCTTCAGACTAGATTTCCGATCTTTAAAGGCATCTAGATTATCGATAACTTAATTATTTTCCATGTTAGCAAAGTGACAATATTAAATTTTGTTATATAGTTTTACCAGGTTCTATAATACTTGCCATTCCATTTCATTTCTAATTATTGTTACATTCGTGTTATTTTAATAATAAAGCTTCCACATGTCTAGAAACTGGCAATGGACCATGTGATGCTTGTGGATTATTCTGTCAGGGGTCATTGAACTTTTATGAAGTGTCCTTAATCCTTCAACAGTGTGATGGATACAATTTATTGATCATATATAAATAACTTATAAATAATACCGGTATGGTAGAATTATGACAGTCTACAATTATTGTTTTGTATTAACTTATAAACATACAAATTCTTGTTAAGAATAACTATACCCATTATGGGCCCCATTAGATTAAAAATAGTTTTGGACTACCTGTAATTCAAATAATAATTGTAATATTATTATTGTATTTAAATCATTATTTTAAATAAGTTAAACTTTCTGTAATATTTAGAAATTTAGAAATTTAAAATATGTTAGTTGGGTTATTCGCGTATTAATTTAAACTTTAAAGTCTTTGTACTCAAAAACTACGAATTCTGGTACCAATATATCTTCAATAATTTACATAATTATATAATGTATTATATGTTTATTTAATTATGAATTATTTATATATTGAATGTTATTAGCTCGGTTATTAGGTACTTATAGGTACAATTTGTTGGCTAAATAGATAATTAAATTAAATGTGTTAAGAAGTAGTCCAAACCTATAGAGTTTACGCTCGTGAAATATTCGTACAATAGTTTAATATAAAAAAAAATGTGATCTATAAATACTGTAACCATTACTAATTCGTTACGGTCAATTAGGTATATTATTTTTCTCAAACTAATACTGATAATGGCTTATTATTATTATTTTTTTTTTTTAAATAATTAATTCAATCGAATATTTACATTAAATATTGAGTTAAGTGACTAATTCGAAAAATTTCCAAAAAATCTAATAATCGATGTTAGCTTGACAACAAGGTATTAACGGGGTATACTGTAGGTAAGCATGTGGGGTCGACAAAATTCGGGCTCGGTCGCTTAGAGACTTTCAATCGGGCGGACTCCACACTTCTCGGAGGTTGGCCGTAGAAACTATCGGCTCGTCTTCCTGTTTCCTCGGCTGTCCTTGGGTACCGTGAGATTCAACAGGTACGAGCCGGTGACCCTGTGTCTTCCGTCCTAAAGCGGCACCAGGGACAAACTATACGGCTAGGGCGGTCAGGAGAAGTTGGTTCACGAATATTCCGTTGGGACCAACGATTACTAGTTCGACGTTGCTTACGGAAGTTTGTTTACACTAGTACATGGGAAGTGTCGAATCATCGATGACCAACAATTAGCCGGTCTGGGAACTAAAATAATGGCAGAACTCGCTACCCTTGGCGGAGGGACCAAGTCTCGGGCTGACCCTGCACTGACATCAACTCATAATAAAATCCTAGTCCGTACCACCCGAGTGTCCATCGCAGTTTGGCTGGGCTTGGCTAGCTAACCTGCGGTGCCCGCCGAAGTTGAAGTGATTCTTATCTCTAACATAGTGACTATGGGACCGGCGCTATGATGGCGGAGAAATAAATACCAGAGTACCTCGTGGGGGAACGGGAACCCAACTCTGAGACAACTGCAGTCCAGACCCGAAATACTTACGAATCTTCGGGATTCGGTGCTCGTGGTCCTTAGATGAAACGCGGCCGATCGGACGCCGGGTCAAACCGTTAAAGTTCATCTGCCAAACAGAACTCGTTATAACGCTCGTTAAAGCGGTAAATGGCTCGTCGGCGTGGTGCTTTAACGCTCGTGAATAACGCCGCGTTGTAACAAATCACAAAATCACGCGACGTGAAAATAACGCTTTCTATTTGACAGAGCCTTTAACCTCTGGGGCCACGGCTCTTGAGCGCCCATGTAGCCACAAGGTATCAAACCCGGGCGTCTTCGTATAGGTATGCATGGCAACATGATATGTCATTGGTAGGTCATTCATATAATTATTAATTAGTAGGAAAAACCTTTTTTAAGTATGAAATTGTTTTAATTTAACCGTATAGTATTATACATTTAACATTAACACGGCAACTAATAAGGTACCTACAATTTTGATTTAATTGGAATAAATTGGCCATTCGCTTATAAGTTATAATATAAGAATATAGCATGACGTATAAAGGTGCTTTACAGCTGCTGACTAATTAAGGTTATTACTTATTAGTTTACAATAATATTATTATTATTTGTAGGTTCATAAAAATTATTTTTCATTTAAATTTACGAATGTGGTGTATTAATTTATTAATACTTTTTTTGTTTAGAATATAGATAAGTTAGGTTAGATATAGACATAAATTAAATGTAAAATTCAACTATAGATTATGTTATTTGTAGTTTGACTTTTATGGTCGCTTCTAGCTAGAATACAAAACACAGTGTAACTCACCACTCCCACAAAATAACTTTTCATTGTGTACGTATTTTATGCTATAAAATTATAGGTACCTAAATAATATCCCTGAAGCAGTATATATATTTTTTATTATTTCACTTACTTACCTACAATTGAAAGATCGTAAAAAATATATTATATTGCTGTTCGGCGTTACTTTACGTAATATATGTGAGAATTTTATGATATTATGTATTGTCTTAAAAGCTTAGTATATTGTTACTGTGGGCATTTGTTTAAACCATGGTAGACTATAATGTACTCTGGTTTAAATATAGAACGAAGAGTTTTTAAATGATTCTGGTTGACACTTTCTTTAAAATTAGACACTAACCTTCCTTCATCTTACGAGTTGTTTAGCCAGTTTTTCAACTTGTCTATATACAGCTGAAGTGATGACTTAAATGCATTATATTGTTCTATATGGTTATACAGATAACGATAAAACCAGTTTCCCCTATGCTAGGGTTCTGTTAGTCGTAAACCCTATAAGAATAATTGTATACTACTATACTATTTCAAATAATATGTCAACGACTTTTAGCTGTTAATGGATAAAATTATACGATTTGCATTACGGTTTGGAATAATATTAATAATAAGTATTATTATCATTTATAGGTTTTCATTTATACTTATTGTACCTATATGTGTGTATACCTACTGTCCTACTATACAAAATATACAACAAATTACAATTTCAGTTTAAGCAAATCAGAACTAGTTATATAATATATATACCTTTTATATACCTATTATATACCTAAAAAAACTAAATTATTTATCAACCCATTAATAGTGGGATTAATGGTTATAGCTTTCAGTAGGGTAGTTTAAACTATATAAAATAAGAAAAAAATATAATACTTATCTCAATGTAGGTCCCTATTATGGTAGTTATTTTTTATTTCCCTATAATATTATGTATTACCATGTTTTTTTATTGAAATTTAACTGTGTCATTTGAATTGTTATTACATTTTTTCAGAAAAACGTCAGTACCGTCACCGTTGCATATGGCGGGCGTAAATAACGTAAGTACATATGATAATGCACCAGAAAATTCCAATAACACAGTTGAGCAAACTAACAAGGCTGATGATTCAGACGACAAAGATGATTCGTTGCAGAACGTCATCGACAATGAACTGTCCAAACGTTTTAACGAAAGTGAAACTCCAGCCAATCGTGTTAAATACAGTGTAGACATAATGCTAACTACAGAATCAATTCATAGTGACAGTGTTAGACAGTCTAATGACGTAGAATACGTAGACCTCAAGTCCTTAAAATCGAACGAATACCAAGTCCAAAAAGACACTAGCGAGCTCTTTCTGTTGACAGAACAACAACATACCGAAGAGACTAGTGACACGGGTAACGATTCTGTAGTTTTGATAGTGGAAGAAGTTATTGATAATGATGGTCCACTATCTGACACTATGAGTAGTGATGGATTCGAAGAAAACGATATAACGAGGGAGCTTGTGGATCAGGATCCTTCACATGCAGAATTAGAAGAACCTCGTATTTTTTCTAGACCCCTACCGGTTGATGAGGCAGATAATGTAACTGAATTGGTATTTGATACTTGGACCACGGTTGATGAGATTGTGGGATCAGAAATTAAAAAAACTGAATCAAACGGTTATGAAGAAAAGTCGGCCACTGACATCAGTACTGCTAGCCTTAACCAAGAGTGTTTTGATATTAATACACCAGCCATAACTAACAGTGTTGTGAGTTTTTGTTTGATTAATATTTAATACTTTTAGCGTTATAATAATATATAGTTTTGATTACTATACACATACTTTTTAACTACATTTAAATTTACTGTTTTATTTTTATTTTAACATTATCAACATATATCACTATACTTTTGTGTAGGTCCCTAATGTAAAAATAGGCTATGAAATAAAATGATTTCGTTCAATTCATAATTCATTAGTGTGTGACGACTGACGTGTAATCAACCACAATTCCTACTGATGACATGCTCTGTACTCATGGCTATGTATAATGGTGTTACATTATTAAACAGTATTTTGTGTATTCATACGATATCCCAAATACATTTCAGTAATCTATATTTTTTAAAATTATTTAGTTAAAAATATCTTGTTTTAAATTATTGATATTTAAAGTGTGTTTATTTGTAGTTACATTTAAAATCAATTTCAATCAAAACATTGCGTAATTTTTATTTTAAATTAATTCATTTTATGTAGTCTATCTATACCCTTTTAAGTTGCAAAGGGTATGGTACGTATTATTTCGAAAATATAAATAATGGGTATATTTTGATCCTATCTTATACTAGTCCAAACATGATATTGTTTATGCACATCGAATACCTACCGTGAAAAATTGTTCATGATACCGGAAATATGGTCTTGCCAAATATTGTTTGAATTTACTATGTTGTCATACTCATTTCCCAGCTCTTTGTTAGCCGCTTCTAATCAATATTGTTTTTTGTTTTTTTAAAATTACATTTGTTATTTGTATGTAATATTTATGAGTGTAAAACCCTGACCCCTAATCAAAAATCTAGCTGAAGCTAAAACATTTGTTCTACTACATGGATTCTACTAAATTTTAGTACCAACATTGTATATTTTAATAGTACCTATGCGTATAAAGATTATATTTGTGATAATTAAAGCAATGATTTTATCGATCTATAATTTTTAATTACATTTTTTAATAATAGAAAATTTGGCTCGTTGCTAGTGATCTAAGTCGTTGGTTATGAGAACCCTGTAAGTTGTGTCCCTGCCTTAAAAAATTACATTCAGTAAAAAAAAATTTTTGTTAGCATTAATATTACAGTGAGTTTTATCTTTAATCAAACTTAAAGATAAGAATATTTTTTGTGTTTGTTCTGTTTCTATATTTTTAAAAAATTTTTGGGAGTTTTGAGTATGTATTATTTAAAAATGTTCATAATTCGCTCAATATTTAAAATATCGTAAAAAACCGACCGCCAAATACAGAAAACCTTCTATTCTTTATGTTTGATAATAGCATCTTACATAATATTTATACTAAGAAGTTTGATAGGAAAATAAAATAATAATATTTATAATATTAAATAAAAATATAACCCTAGCTTTTGTCTGGTATTTGGGCTTTTTTATGGTTACATAATATAAATATATTTATAGGTACAATATCATGATTTCTTTATAACTTTTGAATTTATACAATATACATATTATAATAATTAATAAGGTATACATAACGTGTTAGTATAATATGTTATGTTATAAAGTATAACTCATATTATTAATATTTCTTAAATTCAACTGTAAACAAATAAATGTATAAATAAATAAATAATATTTATCATAGTTTAAAAATAAATTTAAAAATTAAAATACAGTTGCAAGAATTTGTTGTAAAATATATTTTATGAGCTGAGCTGTGGTTGAACCTATCTATGTAAGTAGACTTTTTAGGAAGTTACTCAGCTTGGATTATTATCAGATTTTTATTGGTCTTCGTTTGTTTTTTTTTTTAAATTTAATGTAACATAATGTATGGGTGTCAAATTATGGTCAAGGTATTGTTATTTTATTTAACAATGATTACCTATTAACTCGAGTATAATATACTTAAATATTTATGTAAATTAATTTACTTAGATAGATATTAGATACTAAGATAGACACCACAAAATATACGATATTATATTAGTACCTATGACTTGAAAAAAAAGTCAATTGTATCTCATACAGACATACGTAAACACTAAGTGGGGATTTGACTAAAAACAGACGACATGTATTTCAAGCCACACATTGCTGTCGGGTTGCCGTCACGGTGTTCTTCCCCTATTGTCCATTATACCATTGTACCGGGGGCAACAATTGACTAGAAATTATATTATCTTCTTGTAGTAGAAAATTTATGGCTGTCTTCAATCCATTTTTGTTCTTAAAACTCACAGGAAGTAATAGTTATTTAATGTTTGATTGTGTTTTGGCAGACCGAGGTAGTTTCGGAAACGACGACTGAACGCAGAACAGTAAAGAAAAAGTCATCTGCAGCCGGTGGTGAGGCGTCTACCACAGTTGTCAAGACCAAAAAGACCAAAAAGTCGAAAAAATCTGACGAAAAAGAAAATATATCTGTTGTAAGTTTTTACGAAAATTCTAAGTTTATCCGCTGTATATTTATTTTATCTCCTTTAAAATGTATACTGAGTAATAAGTATAATATTACCTAATAACATATTTTCCTTACTGTGAAACAACAATCATTGTTCTTACTTCTACAAGGTAAAAACATAAGCTATTTTTTTGAGCTCACATATATTGTTTCAAAGTTTGTTTGTATATTGCATTTAATTAACAATGCCATGCGTGAATCACATTTTAGTTCAAAGTTTGTTTTTGGTTTTAATTTGAAGCATTTTATTTTTATTCAACTGGCGTAATTAATGCTATCCTTGGTTTTTAAATTGTTGTTCTTTGTTAAGCAAATTAATTTTACTACCTATGTAATGTTTGTGATTTTGCAAAACAAAAAGTCGTATATTTCTAACTTGTAGATATCTTTTACAATTACTAATTAGTCAAATGACAATTTTTCTATTACTTATGCTTTCCAATAGAATATGTTATCCTGCAAAAATGCTCTATATGCTATTTCCTACGTCATATCTGCTTTTATATAGATTTAATAGTGTTAAGTTTTGCCTATTATGTGTGGCTTTTGTAGAATTTAAATGGCCATTTGACAAATGAAATGAGAAATGGTCAATACGACGACTATATTGTCGAGGAAGATGACTTATCTAACGTATGCGTTCGAGACCTCGTAAGTATTGGAAATTATCGTTTTACTAAAATTAGCATTTAAATATTATATTATGGTGGTTTCTTGAGTTAAGCCCCAAGTCCGTAGATATTTGTTTCTCAATTAGTAACTGTAACAGTACAATGAGATTATTTTTTCGTTTACAATAGTCCATTTGGGTGCAAGCATTTACATTGTCCAAGAATTAATTGGATGTTGACCTTGGATTTCTCATATATTTTCTTTTGTATCTATAGTATTCTGTCGTGAAATTAGTTTTGAAGTAGTTAGTATCAGATAGGTAGGTAGGTACATCGGTAGCAAAGATTCTTGAGTAACGTTTCATTATAAAATACCGTTTGCATAATACAGGAGAAACATTTTAATTTTATATGTAAAATATGATAATATAATATGATGTACAAGTAGGTACATGCCATGCTAACATACTAACTGAAGAAACAAAATAATTCTTTATTGATTTATTTTAAAATATTACTTGGTTTAGAAAATTTCATAGTGCATTACAATGTAGTTAATACTTATATACCTACTATCTACAGATTACAACATGGAGGGATATTATGCTATTTTTATTTAAAAAATTATAATTTTTACAGCTTTAAGATTTAACATTATTTGTTATTAAAATCTAAAATATCTTCTAAAACTGTGGAAATCGGGTAAAATATTTTTAAAATGTATTTCTCTTAGGTAAATATTGAATCTTTCGTGAATCGACGACTTGTTCATATTGCTTTTGAATTATTCATTTGGCTGGATAAACTAATTGGCTCTATGTTTTATATTATATCCACCTTCACATTAGTTTGACTTCGTTTTATCTAATAATATCTGTGCATCTTAAGTCATTACCTCATATGGTTCGTTCTACTTCTGAGCAAGATTCCTATATTGAGAATGCACTGTGTTGTGTCATCAACACGTTTAGAATAGTAACGAATGAGTTATAAAATATTAGTAATCTTACTTTGCAATTGCAGTAAATGAAATGAGTCAGTCTAAATCTCTTCGTTACTAATAATATACATTTTTGTCATCATATTTATTTTTACATGAATCATGTATTAGCGATTTATTCAAAATTATTTTAAATAGAACATAATTAACAGTATTTTATTATTTTTCAAATTATAATACAATAATGAAATATGTAATTTTGTAATATACAATTTTGCCTCTTAAATTTAGATATATTTAAAATAAATTCTTTATTTTTTATTTGTATGCCTTCCATAAAATTAATAAAATTACACAAGTGTAGGGTACTATTTATAATATCGCTTAATGCTTAGCTATCATATACGTCATCAAAGTGTATGACACATGTTTATTTTCATTTAAAAAAATGTTACTACATTGTTTGTTTGGCTCGATTTTATTTTAAAAATTTAAAAAAACAAACAAAAAATTAACTCTAGAAATATTGAATTGGGTTTGTATATAAATTATATGTGGTGGTTCATTAAATTTCCCATGCTTTATTTTTATAAAAACAAACGTTCACATGTGTTTTTTAGAAGGGGAAAAAGTATATGTTGTCTTAAGCATTCTCTGATGATTTTATCCAACCGGAAGTTTGAAATGGAAAATTAAATATATAAATAACACATTGGCCGCACCTTCTTCTGAATTCAATAATCGAGATCATCCCCGCTAACTATAGTTTGTTTACACTTAATACTGGCGTACTCCTCCCAAAGAACTAAAAAACTTCAGTGCAATTAAATAATATTAAAATTGATATCTTCCAGAAGCATGCTTGTTGTGAGCTTATCTATTTCTCTTGAAATATAAATTATATGAATAAAAAATAATTGGCCTATGGTATTTTTCATTAGCTGAGATAAATGTGTGAAGTAAACAATGGTTTTATTTAAGGAAAACAATGTGTAGACCATATAACCGTTCTAAAATACCGGTTTATTTTATTTTAATTAATATTTAATTTCCCATGTTCTTTTTTTTAAGCTAATGTATTTAAACAATGAGCGACATGGTAAAATTAAGCTTTGTTATAGCTTTATTTTGTATTTAATTTTTTTTTATAGAAAACAGTCTAGAGAAAGTTATTAGGTATAAGTATGTACTGTATAACATAGTAGATGATGTAAAATAAAGTTTAGTTTCTAAAACAAGTGCTTTAATAATATTTATAAAGGTCTACCTATAACTGGGTACTTACTAAAAATCAATTGAATTAATTAATAATTCAGAGTTCGCTCGTTGTGTTAAAAAATTATGCATTTTAGTTTTGTTTGAACTTTCAATTGTCTGCTTTGTTATGTTTTTTTTTATTTTTGTGTGTGCTTTGGTAGAAAAAATCCTACTGCGATGAAGCTAATCGAAAGTCTTCCTCCGTTATTATACCAGAAGAGCCTGTACCTGCTTCTATTCCCATAGATGAATTGGTGAGTAAAATGTTGTATTATAATCTCCCTGTTCCCATCCTCGAAACAAATCGATGAGTTGCTTTTCGTGTATGTACGTGCTTTTATTTTTGTTGCATCTATGTAATTTGTGTATGCGTGTTTATTTGCTATTTGTTTTGTAAAGAAGCGAAATTTTGTTGGTGCCGTCAAGAAACAACCATCCGGATGTGAAAACGGAATGATAAACGGTTGTTCGGTAAGTTATAGGTTCTTTAAACTGTTAAACATTTATAACTATTATCATTATTAATGTTATACACTTACTATGCTTAACTCTTTAGTATATTTTTGTCATCTTGTTTTAATAATCACTAATCACTGAGGTCAAGGAATGTTATTTTAAAATACCTTTAAATATTAGATAGTAGTTACTAATATGAGGCAGAAAGGTATTATACTTAATAGACTGCATGTTAATATTTTCGTATTTTCTTCGTAAACATTTGCTTTTACGAGTAAAAATAATACAATCAAATTTTGGTTTTCGAGGAATTAATCACAAATAAGTACGTATGCAAAGTGAGTACTGAAAACTTATAATATTATATGACTCAATGTTGTCCTGCCGTATTCTTATTACTCAGACGGTCAGACCATTAACGGAAAGATCGTTGACATTGTCGAGTATAATATTATGTATAGGTATTGTATATCTAAAATTATAAATTATTGTAATAGCCAATAGGTATTCAATTTCAAATTTAAATTGTTATCTATATACCCAGCTAATGAACCCCGATGACTCGGTGAAAATACTGATAATACATCACTGTGATTTCGTCATTGTATTAATATTGGATTTTATAGGAGGCGGAATGTGATTTTTATGTTATTTTATTAATTATTATGAAATATTTTCTCTCGTAATTTTTATAAACTACCTATTTTTGTTATGAAATGTTTCTATAGCCCTGTTAATGTTATAAGTTTAAACTGTTTGCTGAGCTGAGGTATATAACCGGCTTATGTTGTTTTCAATATAAATGTATGACTATTAATTGTCGTTTGGTTTGTATGCGTTTAGTGTCAATCTTTTGAAGTTTTGTTCTGCAATAATAACAAAATAAAAATAATAATAAAAATAAAATAAAAATAAAAATGTTGTATTCTATAAAACGGAAAAAAAGTCCCTAAAAAGAATAATAGTATTTAAAAAATATAAGAAAGAGATCTTTTATATCTGAATAAAATAATAAATACATTTTTATACATTTTTTAAATACTATTATTATAAGATAATTTTTTTTAATTTTTAATTTACGATGGGTAAACCACATCTGAATAAATACATTTTTATATTTTTTAGGGACTTTTTTCCTAATATCCTAAAAAACAGCAATGACCAAAAACAAATAACTGTAGGTACGTGAAAATTTCACTGAATGCTTATATTTTCATTGTGTATAGCATCATAATATTTTGAAAATATTTTTGACTTTTTTAGCTTTTTACGGACATTATTAGTTTTCAATTTTTTTAGTTTTTTTTTTCCATAATTGTCAATAAAATTGTATTTGTTGGGTTAAAATGGGTGAAAATTTAATATAAGGCTCCTGATATATTGTTGTAATAGCAGTTGAAAAATATTAAAAATACATAAATATTAAAAAAGGCATAATTTTTTTTATAAGTATTTTAAGTTCGAATTTTGACAAAAATTAAAAAATAATTTTGTGGTTAAAAATTTATAAAATGTTCAACTTTTGTATCTAAGGATTGAAAATTTAAAACAAGGTTCCACGTAAATACTAAATAGGTTATAAAATATAAATTACTTTATTCACAATAATATCATCAAATATACTTAGTAAAATCATAGGCTCACTGACCGTCTTCGCTCCGAATCGTTTTTCTTATATAAATATATTATATTATTGAATTAAAATTTAACACCATCCATTACAGTAACCCACTTGTAACCTACTGTACAACAGAACGACACTCACTTGCCCACCTTTTTTTTTTTTTTGTAACATTAAAGTAAAAGTGAATTTGGAAAAAAAAAAAAAATATTAATTTGGTTGTATACTAATTAAACAATACACAAAATCGAAAATCCATTTCCTACATAACCAGAAAAGATAATAAGGAATTCAAATATATTTTCAAAATTAAAATCTGGCATTAAGTACTGGGTGAATTTTTTCTTCTGCTTTTTGGGACTTTCATGGCCACATGGGACTTTTTGATTGTTTTCTGATCGCAAAGTATAGTTACTGCACTTATGTACATTGGATGTAACAGATTTTTAAGAACCTTAGCTGTAGCTTACCTTTAATGACATAAAGCGTTCGGGGAACTCACGTACTATAATGAAAATATTGTGAAAATATACGATCCCTTAAAAATGGTTCACTTTCAAGTTTCAACAACCTTATAAATATAAATAAATATATAGAACCAACATTTTCTTAAAACATTAGTGCTAATACTTAATACTCTTTTGAACTTGTTTACTTTGCTTTCATCTACATGTACGTTATTAATTTATAAAATATGTCTAACAATATTATAAAGTTCTATGTTTTGAGTAGGTAGGTACCTAAAATATTTTTGTCCTCATCGTAATTTTCGTTTACAAACATATATTTTTATGTTTAATCATAGGCGCCGAAGTAATCAGAAACACTTAAACAAAACAACAAATATTATCATTTAATATGTATAAAATAATATATATATAGAATTATAGAGCTAATTTAACCTTTAAAGTAGTTAACTTTTAAATTATCTATACATATTACCTAACCTATAAAAAAACACACATGCCATAGGTAAAGCTAATTTTTGGCGCCTTTATTACAATTTATTATGAATCCATTCAAGTATATTTTATTACCATTATTTAAATGTTTAAACTTAGGAAAGGTTATAATTTATGTTTATTATTTAATGTACCTATTTATAAAAGATTAAATCAATCTATAAACGTACCTAGTATTATACAGTAAAATTATGATTAGAAAATGAAAATAAAACGATAGATCTATAATTTTTTTTCCTATTTTATAAAAATCTAATGGAAACCTATCCCATTATTTCTGACCTATAATATTCTTTATTCTGTTTTACAGTTAAAAAAAATTATTACACTTTTTATATTTTTCTAATTTCTCCTAACTTGTGTTGATTCTTATATAATCAGTTCATATTTATTGAAGGGTTTTGGTATTTTTCAATCTCCTGAAACTGTAGTTAATATTTTATATACGTACAGTTAACATGAAAATAGTAATTTTTTTAGAAATCAAGTTTTGGGAAATTTGATCAACTGGAAAAAAAAATTATCCTTCAACAAAGATCACCTACAGAATCTGAAAAAATCGATACTAAACAAGTATTTAACTTAATATAATATATAATATATTTGAAATTCTAAACTAATTGAAATTATTGATAGAATGGTGTTATACGTCCAGAAGTTAATTCTGTATGTAAGTCATGTGAGAAGACTGTGTATGCCATGGAACAAATAAAAGCGGAACGTCAAGTTTGGCACAAGAACTGTTTCCGGTGCACAACATGCAACAAACAATTAACGTAAACTTAAATATTTTGATTATGTTTTATTAATTGAAGAAAAGTTAATGATTTTTGGCCTTTGATTTTAGACTTGATATTTATAGTAGCCATGAAGGTATATTGTACTGTAAACCACATTTCAAGGAGTTATTTAAGCCTAAAGTAGTAGTTGAGGACGAAGAACCAAGTAAGTTGTTAATACACATGTTAACTGTTATATTTATTTAAAACAAATAGATGGATCGTGAATATGCTATCGAGCCATCGAGGCATATAATAATATAATAATAGTTTTAAGTAAATAACTTTAATATACTTTAAAATATATTTTATGAGATTTTTCCCGTATAAATTCAATTTGAAAATAATTACAACTGTTTGTATTATGATTTTTTCTATAAAATGTTTGAACTGCTATCATCATAGTTAGACGCAAGAAACCAGAAATGATAATACGTGAAAATCAGCCCTTGGAATTACCGCCTGACGTGGTTAGAGGTATATAATTGGACAGTATAAAGTATTATAAAGTATAAACCCATCATAACGTGTGTGGTGTGTGTTGTCTTTATAGGGTTTCTCGTATTTGTTTCTGTTTGGTTTTTTAGATTTTAAAATTCCCCTAATATTTAGTCGATCCCCGCCTTATACAAAACATTTAAAAATGTTAAAAATGTAAACATATAAAGTTTTACTAACCTTAATACCTTAATCCTCATATTTACATAAATAAATAATAATACTGTTTTATATCGCTTATTTTTTACGTAATCATTCTATATCTCAGGAAAAATATATAATATATTTTGTTTTGAAACCCTGAACTACATTTACACTGTGTATTTTAATTATTAATACCCTTCGTACCCTCATTTTATATCTCCGTCTTACTTATGCATGAATGCATAATAATTTTACTTAAAAAAGTATTAAAAATCAAAAGTTGATTCTGGTTTAACATATTACGGGAAGGAGATAAAAATATTGGTAATTTGTTAACTTGACGGTAACACATTAAAGAAAATATACAAATACTTTCCAAGATATAGACTGATTCACATAAAAAAAATCACAATGTATGTGTTATAAAACAATCAATTTGTTTCCAATTTATTAAAACATTTCATTTGTCATCCGTCTTGATTTAAAAAGAATTAACCATTATAGTTGTAATGGCGTAGTAATCAATGTTTTATATTTTTAGCCAGTGATAAACCGGATTTGGGCTTAGAAGAATTGAGCTCTTTAAACGTGAAATCCCGTTTTCAAGCTTTTGAAAACGCCACCACCAATGGTAATAGCCACATGGAAAAATCTCCAGTCAGTGTTAAACGTTCACCAAGTATATTGAGTAAATTAGCTAAGTATGTTTTTTTATTTAGCTCTAAGAGGACACTTCATCCTCATTTGATGTCTTTGAATCAATGTAGGTATTATGAAACTTAATGGTAAGAAAATTATCTGCGTTCGTTGGTCAGTATTTTTCAATAATTCAATTTTTAAACAATAATCATTTTAAAATGGTGCTATTTTATGTACGAAAAACTCTAAAAAATTGAACTATCATAAACCTGAGTTACGAACACAACTAATGTTCTTACCATAAGTTTCACATTAAGTCGACCTATTCTAATTTTTGAAATTATGAGGCTGATTGTACATTTGCTATGTTACGCACTTGTAAGACAACAAATGTGGGTGTAGCGTTTTTCTTAACTAACAACAGATTTGTCTCTCATATACTTATCAAAAACAATTATATTTGTTCAAATAGATTTCAGTCGAAAGGAATGGATGTAGGAGTTGCCAATGATGATTTGAACGGTGCATTCTTTGAGCCCTCGTCAAGCAGTGATACTGAAGATGAAGATACCGGGAATGATATGTTAAAAAATAGTATTTCTAAAGAAAAACCAATGAGTTTTGACAAAATGGAGTCTGTTAAACGTAACTGGGAAATGCGCCGAGAAGAAATGAAAGAGGAACATAAACAAGAAATACAAAACATAAGGTCTAAATTGTTTGCGGTAAGTCAAAGAAAATTCATTGTATTAAAATACATATTATATTATACAATAATCATTGTGTTCTATTATTGATTTTATGATAGTTTTAACTGTCTTAAGGATTGATGACCCTAAATAATAGATTGAGTTGGGCTTACAATATTACTAATTTTAGTTCTCCGTTTTACACAAATACAACTTAATATTTTTTTTTGCTAGTTTCAATAGGGTGCTGTCGTTTTTAATATTGGAGTGAATTGACCTATTATCAATCTTTTAGGTAATAGCATTATCTGTGTTCTCTTGTTGTTGTTTTTTTTTTTTTTTTAATTCTTAAGTGAATTATCAGTATGTAAAATATTAATATTTGAGAATGCTTATAACTCACTTAAAAATTAAAAAATTGTAAAAAACCAACGAGAGAACACAGATAACATTGTTACCTAAAAGTTTGATAATAGGTCAATTCACTCTAATATCAAAACTGATAGCACCCTATTGAAACTAGCGAATGAAAATGTCCTATGTCATACGCGAGTAAGACGGAGACAACACATGCGGGTGCGACGTCCTCTTAATAACTAGTGTTAATATTTATTAGAAATTAGAGTAGGAATTTTTAGTTTTCATACTTATTATTAATTAAAAATACCTGTATTATTTTTTTTAGGGAAAACAAGGAAAGATGAAACAAATGTATGAACAGGCTGTGGCTGAAAGTGAACGTACTGGTGTTAAACGAGACATAAATATAAACAAATCTGACAAAGCCAAAGTAATCAAGGAGAAATTTGAAAGAGGCGAAATTGTAAACACTGAAAGTGATGATATAGATGAAAACAGTATTAGTGTATCAGTAAATGACGATGAAGATGAAATGAGTGTTTTTGAAGCGGGTATATAATATTATGTATAATATATAATATATATTATGTATATTAATTTTTGTGTTTTGTACTATCTAATGCTTTTAATTTTAGGAATCTCTAAGAAATCAAGAAGTCTGTTCATGGAATTGGATGCTAATGCTGTAAAGACTAAACAAGCTGCACCAATTGTGAATACTAAAAAAGAATATATTCCTATAAAACAGGTATATGTAGTTCAAAGTTTATGTTTACCAGTAATTATATCTTAGTTTTAGTGAGAAAAGTTATTTACACTTACCTACTTAGTATCTATATTATTATACACTCTGTTCTCATGTTATTAATTTTTTATACGTAATGTTTCAAAGATTAACAAAAATATTAAGTATTTAATTTGTATTATAATATGCCCACTAATTTTTTATTTTTAATACTCTTAATTATTATAATTGTTATACCCTATTTTATGTATGTGAATATGTATACAAATGACAGGTTACACCAATATACAGTCGTCAAGTGTCTGATGATGTGGTCAAATGCAGTGACCGCATCGAGGACGTTTCTGTGGAAACAGCTGAAGTTTCTTCAAAGTTTAAGTTCTTTGAAACATACAAGCCTCCTGCAGTCATTAAGAAACAATTCAGAATTACACCCCCACGAGAAGGCCAAATTAAGGTTTTCTATCTGAACTTATCTTATTGGTTATCCTAACTATTCCTAACTTAACCACTAATCATTTAATTAACTTTCTTATGCCATTGTTACACTTACTGTGTATTTATGAATTTGTATTTTTGTATTTTTATATTTTTTTTTAAAAACTTGGTTTCTTTTTAATTTTTATTGACTAATCTAACAGAGTTAAAATAATAATTGTGATTCCCTTGTTTTTGTTGTGTTTAACTTAAATAATAATTGCTAATTTATTAATAACAGTTTAATTTTTTATCAACTTATTTATTATTTTATGAGTATCTAAGATTCATTAAAAGAGTATATGTTACCACCTAATTAAATTACTGTCAGTAATTTAAAGAGGATAGTTAACTGAAATAAATTCTTCATAATATAAAGAAAACTAATAATTAATATTCTTTACTTTTAATACATAGTATAAGATTATCAGCGCTGTTTGTAGTTGGTATATTAAGATTTAACCTGTAAAATTACTAGTTATGATTATAATTTATAATAATCTTTAGTATATTAAATATAATATTTTTGTAATATAAAACCTTTTTTTGTAAATATAAAAAATAGAGATTATGACCCGTAATTTGTTAGTTACTTGCCTATTTCATCTATTATAATTATATTATAAGCAACAATATTTAAGGGGGCTGGAGCGTGATTCATTTTCGGTCAAAAACATAGCTCACGACTTCAATCACTACGCCCAATATAATGTTTTGATTTTAATTTTGAAAGCAGATTTGAATTCGTCACTAAATTATCTATGCTTTGACAATTTTATTTTTCTGATTTTTATTTTTTTTTACTTAGGAATTTACTAACAAAAAGAGTAAAAATTGATCATTTTTATAATTCAAATTTAAATCCATTGATATTGAATATGAAAAATGTACGACAGTCAAAGCATAGTAAATTTAGAGGAGAATTCAAATCTGCTTTCTAAATTTAAATCGGAACATTCTACTAAGCGTAGTGATTGAAGTCATTGGCCGTATTTTTTGAAAAAAAAAATGTTATTAATTTTATAAGCCAATATGTTGTTGACATGTGCATGCGCGTAGGTAAAATCACAGCCGTACATATCCGGTCGGCGGTCACTATGATGCCCCTATACAACGTAATCGGTATTATTCGGGGATTCACACACAATTATTTAATGATTATTATTTATTAGTACCTATTGTAATGTTATGTACAGAATAATATATTATATAAAGGTATAGGTAATAGGTTTTATTTCCGTGGTATTATAATATTCATTATGATTATTCAATAAAATTATATTTTACATTATACAGGTATACCTGTTTAAAAATGTTTGTCTAGACACTCGATGTATTGATATTTTTATATATTTTTATATTTATATTTTTTATTTTATAATATATGGTATAACTTTCAAAATATTTTGATCTTTTTGAGCAATTTATCATACTGAAAGTTTACAAATTATTTCGCAGTTAAAAATGTTCAATTTTTTTAGCTAAGGAAAAAATATATTTAAAAATGATTCTACGTAAGTAGTTCATACTGTAACCAACAAATTTAAAAAATATATAAAAACAGTTTTTTTTTTACAATTATTTGAAGTTCAAGGTGGTCGAAATTAAGTATACCTATTTAGTGCAGTAATTAAAAAAAACCATTTACTATGAAGTATTATCTATTATTTATTACCATTTAATTAAGTACAATAATATTATTATTATGTTATCGTAATTAGGTAATAGTTATTGTAAATTCGGTGAATTGCAGCATGTCTAATGACAATGGCTATTATGTTAAACCAGTTTTTGAACGGATAGTGAGTTCGGAGAGTACACAATTACGAATTACACACACTAATGTTCATTTACTTCCAACACATTGACATGGACCCATATGCACTGCAATATAAATTGCCTAGTTTTTACTCCTTAGAATGGACTACGCTCCAGCCCCCTTAACAAATGTTTTTTATTTATTATTCGTTTTAATTTAATAATATACATGTATGTTTTTACCAAAATTCACAAATAAAATGTATATTGATTATAGTTTTCAGTTTTATTCATAATGATTAATGAATAAACATTAAGTTTTTATTTGGTCATAATCTCTATTTATTAAGTAGAATATAATATGAAAACATATTTCAATGGTGTAACATTATTTTAATATAGTATATTATTGTTTGGAGATAATAGTTTTATACTTCCCAAATCATAGAATAAGTAATACCAAATTTATAGCTTTAAAACGTCGGCTTTAATAATATGCATTATCTTTGATAAAAATGATTACATATTGTGTATGAATTATATCATTTAAATAATGTTCTAATTTTAATGATGATTTTAATAATGTTCAAATATTGTTCTAATTTGTTTTAACTAGGGAGAATCTCCAGAACGTGATATTTACCGCGATCCAAATGTGGTGCGCAGTGAAGATCCAGTTGATGAGACAGCGGAACTAGTCAAAAGTAATACGACCGCTAAGATGTTATCCTTATTTAGACAGATGGAAGTTGCCAGACCAGCTGTACCTGAAGGTCTTAAACCACTTAAACGCTTTACTCCTCCACCACCAGACCTTAAGGAATCAGAGACGGAATCAGAATCTGATGATGATGTGAGTGGGGAAGATGATAGTGATGAAGAATCTTCAAGTAGTGAAACCAATGGTGATGTTGTGAAATCATCCCTAAAAGTTGAAGACGAATTTTTGAAAAATGTAAGATTATCATATATTTGAATATTTTTTTATATTTAACTACTGATTTTAAAATTTATAGTTGTGTTATATGTAATATATATAATAAAAACCCTCCAATTTTAGTCTCAAAGCGCAGTAATGGCCAAATCATTGAAAGACAAATTTGAACACTGGGAACCTGACAAGCATTCTATGAATAATGCTGTTACAATGCTTGATTCTGAACAGGAAAGCATTGAATCGACTAAGTCTTTGCGTGCTCGTTTTGAATCTCTGAAAGGGGATCGTCCAGCTGATAAGCCAAAACCAAAAGTTAACAGATTCGTGGTAAATAATTCTAAAAGTCTTAGTTACAGTATAAACGCTTTTGATTAATCTCCTTCTTCCGTTTGGCCTGTCTGTTTTTTCTTCTTGTTTTTTTGTTTTTGTAGGCCGATGCTAATATGTCGACAGTCGGACGAAAAAAAGACATTTATTGGGACTTTTTTTACTAACGTCTGACATGATGACATAGAAACAAAATTATTATTCTTAATCGATACATTTTATTAGGTAAATGACACGAGAGTTTCTGGATTATTGGAAGTCCAGTTTATGTGGTAAACGTTTGTTCGTTCAATTTTTGTGTAATTCATTAACCTTAAACAAAGAGGAAAAGAGACTTTACTTAACTCTTTTTTTTTTTTAATCATTTTTTGACATTTACCAGTTTGATTATCCTTAATATTACATATACATGTTTGTAATTTCGAAAAGTTTATATGTCGTATAATTGTTTGTCAATTTTATTTGTGTTAGTTGAGGATACATTGTGACGGCTAATAAGTTTTCGGGACTTCTATCCTTAACGTTGATGAAAGTCTTTTAATTCATTCAAATACAATAAAATTGTTTTGAAGCATTTTTAGTTAAATAAATATAATATAACTGTTTACTATTAAGTTCCTTAAATACGATTGCAAATCAAATTAAATTAAAATGTGTTATCACTTTACACATACATTTAGTTACGTAATTATTATTTGAATGAGTGACACTCAAATTGTGACACAGTTGACTTATTAGTATCTAATACTTTGTTCTTTTCAATTTTGTAACAGTTATATTTAAAAAAGGTGGGGGAACTCATTATTTTTAAATTTTCCTATAGTTATAATTTTTAATTTTTATTTTCAATCAAGGAATTTTTTTTATACTTTCATTTAAATTTTTTTCAAGTTTATGTTGATGTAATGTTTTAACAATGCTTATGATAATTTTTTACATAAATTATTGAATAACAATCATAATTGTTATTGTTGTCTCTGAAAATTACGTTTTCTGTGATACTTAATAAATGTTCTTATATCTTTCAGAAAAATTAATATTATTTTACTTCTGCATTATGCCGTTTGGGAGTAGTTTGTGTGTATGATGCATTGACCTATGCACTTAGAAATTTTACTGTACAAAGAGTGAATAGAAATCAATTTTTAATTAATAATTTAATTTATTATCCAAGTATAATGCCATAAAAGGTGTGTGTAAAATTTTAAAGTTAACAGTGTATATATCTGTACAATTAATTATTTGACTATTTAGTTCAGTGGTTTAGTGGTTATCACAGAAAGCGAAATGTAACGTTTATTTTTTTTTTAAATTTAAACTAATTACTATTTAACATTATGTTTGTTGTGTTTATTTAAAATCAAATTAAGTCTTTAAATAAAAGACAACAACTTAATCGATTTGCGTCTCGCGCCGTAGTGAAAAATCGCGTTTAACATTGTAAACATTTCTAATTTGAAACATATTTACCTACCATTTGTTGTGATTAAAACATTAATAATAATAACGAAATGCTTATACAATACTACGTCTATATAATTATAGTAATATAATTTAATATCCATTAACAACGAGTCCATAAAACGTGTGCGAATTCATTAGTAGATTCGTAGAGTGACGAGGTGAGTTTGTTTAACAATTTTTTTTTAAAATTTTAATTTTAATATTATTATTATTATTTTTTTTTTTTAAATAATAATCAAATCTAATTTTCAGCTTTATAACAACGTGTAACGGAGTCGCGGTGAAACATTTTTTTTTTTTTTATGTAGTGTTATTATTCGTATGACGGTGGTGGGTGAACCGGACGTTCAAAGTTCGCGGTATACGATATGCATAATAGGTGAATTGGCTGCGATTCGATGTTTATTATAATGGAATATGAATTCGATTGCGTGGGCGTAAAAGACAATTTTTTGCCGCTATCTTGAACACGACTCTACTAAATAATAATACCGACTCCCCCAATAAATAGGGAATAAGAGTATACATATTAGAGGTACTTCCCTACCTATTCATTAGGGGAGTCTATATATAAATAATATGCATTTGTTTTCGTTTTCGTTTTTGCGGAAAACATAACACAATACTATATTTTACGCCATCGTTCATACTATTATCCATCATAACAATATAATAATATACGTTATAACTGACTCATGATATTTGCTACCAACGAACCGTATGACGTCGTCATGATATTTTATATGTTCGTCAAGTATATTATTATTTATTATTATACGTTTGACGAAAAGAAAATCCATACCTTTTATACCTACGTCATAAATCATAATAATAGCAATTTAATTCATAATGCATATAACTATTATTTATTTATTTTGTTCTGTTTTTGTTTTTTTTTGTTACAGTAATAACTGAAGCTCCGTACACCCCATGGACTTTGTTAGTGTACATACAAATTTAAATTAAAAAACTTAATTGAAACTATACATGATAAACATACGTATATTATCTAACATAAATATAATTTGTTTGGATTTCATTTTACATTACTTCTAAAAAATATAACGCAGACATATAATCAAAAATACTGTATTATCGATTCGAAAATAAAAATTACTTAGCGAAAAAGATTCTCGCGATGCTCTTATTCAATTTTATATTGACTTTTACTGTTTTGAAGTGATCTCGAATCCACTTTTAAAATGATATTCGGTATCAAATTTTTGTTATGTTTAAAATTAAAAGTTTATTCTAACGTTGGATTTAAAACGATATTTAAAGTCTAGTACGTAAAATTGAATTTTTTTTTTGTATAAATCTTTATTTTCAATCATCTTTTTAGTTTTATATAAATTACGTTATCGCTTGTCAATATTTTATATTTAAGTGGAACAGAAACAGTAAAGATTTTTCCCGTTTTAAAGTATTAGAACGAACGAAAAAAAAATGAGTGATAAATCACTAATATTGTTGCGGAATTATTGAATTTTAAATTTTAGAAGGAGAAAATAATTTATTATTGTCGTTATACTTGTGAGTTTTTTTTTAGTTTAAAACCCATACACAAATATATTATGAACATAATATTATTATTTTTAAATGTAATACTATATATTATTATGTAATGTTATAATACCAATTATGATTGTGATTTGACTTATACACCTATTAATAAACATTTATCAATATACGCTGTCGTCGTGTAGTTTGTACAATATATTATTATGGTATTTTCTTTTTTTTTGTATTTTATAATATAAAATTTTCTTTTTCTTCTGCGTCGTCGTGGGTGATAAGGTGGAGGCATCGTCAGCGGAAGATCGACTACCCGGTGAAAACCGGAACTGCCCCATGTGTATTTCGTCTTTCGAACCCCATTCACCTCACATACACACAATCCACTCATGTACATTTTCATATGCCGTCACGTCTTGATATAATATTATTATGTGATAACTTATTGGCCATTCCTCTTATCTTATTGTTTCTTTTGGCTAACCGTATTTTTATATAATTATTTACTGTTATACACTGCTATAACTTATTTATTTATATTATAATATTTATATACTTATACTTTTATGTTACTATGATGTTAGCGCTGTTGTTATACACTTGTTCGTTGTATATCGTATCATATTTGTGTATTTGTGTGTGATTAAAATTTATGTTATATGTTTGCCGTTTTTTAGCAAGATCACGACAGCCACGCTTTCACGCTCTGCGAATCTTGCGAAAAGAAAGTGTATCCCCTGGAAAAGGTCGAGATTGAAGGCAGACCGTTCCACAGGTCGTGCTTCAGGTGCACGCAATGCCAATGCGTCTTGAGGTGAGTGAAATATTTTTCATAATATCTTTACTGTCGGACACTCAGACGTAGACTTTTTGTTTGTATATAATTTATAGTCATTGCTCTACAGTCTACACGTATAATACAAAAATAATATTTTTTATTTTTTAACACTGAAAATAAAAAAAAGCCAATTTATAAATCGATTTTAAGAACAATTTTTATGGTAAAAACATTTATCTAAGTTAAGTAGTTTATATTTTAGAATTTTTTCAAATGACAATATTTTTTAAGTAAATTAATTTAGAACGTAATAACTTTATTAAAAATATTATTTTTGGTAATTTCTTGACATGATTATAATTCTTAAATTATTTATTAACTATATCATTTTCACAATTTTTTCATACGTGAAATGCTTAATTTTAATTTTTTTTTTTTTTTTTGTCAAGTCTACACGCAGTATTATAAGGTTTATATTTTTAAACCTACACATATATTGTAGTACCTATTAACGTATCTTAAAACCAGAAACTACCGTGTTTAAAGGATGTCACACCCGCACGTGTAGCTTCGTCATACAAAAGTACAAAGTAGGAAAAACTGTTTTGCTCGGGACAACTTTTATCTTTCTGTATTTGTAGTAGTGGTTCAAACATCTGAACATATAGGGTGGAAAATTATCTATGCAATAGCTTGCTCATATTTTAGATAACATAAATTCAATAAAAGTTATTTCCTTCTAAACATATGGTTTTTTTGTTTTTTTTTTTTCATTTGCTTATAAAAAATGATTGGATAGTGCTATTGAAAAAAATAGCACTCTGTTGCACAGATTAAGTTCTTCTTTACGTGTTGTGAAAATTTGGTAGTTATAAACCAAATATGGTGGGAGAAAAGTTGTCCTGAACAAAACAGTTTTTGCTATGTTGTACATTTGTAAAACGGAGACAACACATGCGGGTGTGACATTTTCTTAAGCATAACAATTCTAGATTAAAAGCGGGGATCTAGTCTTTGGACTTTGGTATAGTTATAGGTGTGTAAGAAATAGTTGTGTACAAATTAGAAATTACTAGACATGTTCTATTTTACTGCAGTTCCTAATTCCTATACGTTGATGGTTGATCAGCATTATTGAAAACATTTTGAGTATTCTGGTTAGGGGAGTACCCCAGTACTCTACCTCTAAGAGACGACTGTGGTCTTTATGTATCTACATTATGTTATCCTCGCAAATGATTGTATCAATATATGGTTTAGACAACTAGGATTGAATTAAATAATTTAAAATTTAAAATCATACATACGCTATATTTCCTTTTAAATTCTTTCGTTATACTCGTAACTTGTAAGATGTAGGTACCTAGGCTTTATTTTAGATTTTAAGTGGAACGATGAATGTATTGATTTTACAATGATGTTTGTTTTTTTTATTTTTTATTTATTTTTTTATTTTTTTGAACTGTTTAGGGACATTTTCATTTTCCATTTTTTTTCCATTTTTTTCCATTTGGTTAATCAATTTTACCGATTAACCAATAGCAACCAATATAATATAATACACCATAGAGTAAATAAAGACAACGGTATCGAGTTCAAATCCCAGACATCAATAAATAGTTTTAGCAGTTTTTCTAATTATTCGGTTGACTTTTTAAAAATTTTCTTTCGTAAAAACCTTCGCCTGGCAATTACGAACATCTTAAAAAAAATTTGAGCAAAATCGGCCCAGCCGTTCTCAACTGATGCAATTTCGAATTTTTTGTCTCCATTTTTATATATATAGATGAATGACCTATGGGAAGAAGATACGCTAATTTAAAAAGGGTTAAATTTGGTTTTTTTATTCATCGGATTTTAGTACGGTTAGGTTAGGTTAGGATTTATAGGTAGGTGGAATTAAGTAAAAACCTCAAACTTGGTATAACTTTGGTACTTTTGAGTTAAATCATACACTTACGTACAAACAGCACGCGCGGGGTCCGCGATCTATCGCAGGTAAATTACCTATCGGCTATCTGATAATGTACTGCTGCAATTCAGAATTTTTATTCCGGGCAACAGAAAAGTTAAGATAAATCTAGAACATCATACACCGAATATTAAATAACGCATTGAACAATGTTTGAGTCATATAGAGTTGGTACATTTAACGGGAAACGAAGTGCACGGGATCAGCTAGTAGTGTATAATAAAAAACAACTACCTACATACATAATTGAATATATTTAATAGATGGCTCCTAATTTATTGTTTCAAAGACCAAATAAAAAATATTAAAAATCCATAATTACAATTTTTTTTTATAAGCTTTTAAAGTTCAAATTTTGACAAAATTTATTAAATTTATAATTGAATAATTATTTTGTTGTTCAAAATGTATAAAATTTTCAACTTTTATATCTAAGGATTGAAAATTGAAAACAAGGTTCCATGTAAATAGGTTATAATATATAAATTACTTTATTCACAATAGTATCATTAAATATACTTTGTATAATATCATTCCGTCTTCGCTCAAAATTGTTTTTCTTATACAATGATATATCATTGAATTCAAATTTAACACCATCCATTACAGTGACCCACTTGTAACCTACTGTACAGCATAGCGACACCCACTCTCCCACCTTTATTTTTTTAAATTTAAACTTTATTTATGTACCTATAGAATGGACACGTTTACATGGAATAACAAACGTCTGTACTGTTTGCCGCATTTCAAGCGGCTGTTCATATCCAAAGGAAATTATGACGAGGGATTTGGTGGTGATCAACACAAAAAGAAATGGGAAAACGGACACATGCAGCAGGCTCTTCAACTCGCCGCCGTCACCACCGACTCGACAGCTGATTAGTGTATTATTATAGTAGACGAAGGGAGAAAATTGAATTATATTAATATTAAAAAAAAGTTAACAGTTTAATACCAATGTCAAAAAAATGTGATCTTAAAAAATATTTAATTTGTATTTCTATATTTATATTAAAAAATTGAATTTAAATAATTTCTACAATATTTGTGTACTTAACGCCAGAATTTATTTATTTTATTTATATTGGTAAGCATTACCGAAATAATTATTTTTATTTATTATATTAGTATTTTTTTATTTGTATAAGCATTGTGAATGACACATTAAAATAATAATAATAAAAAAAATCATTCTTTTGTAGGTGCTCAATTATATTTTTGAATAGGAAATTCGCAAAATATTATGTTCTATTTTGCTTCATCGGATATATTTTCTTTTGATAATCTTACTATAGGTTTTTACACATTTTGCATACCTACCCATGTATAATAAATAAGTCCCCGATTTTTATTTAATTGCTTATTCATTTACACTAAACTTAAGAATAATAATTTCTGATATATTTAATAATGTATGTAATAATGTCTTTAGTGTGTAGATTCAAGTTTTAATTTTATTTTGTTAGCAGATAACAATTAATATAAAGGAGACAGAGTGGCCAAGGCGTCGGTTCGAATCTCGACCATGGACGGCTCCTCTTTCTGGCCAGGCAACTGTCTAGAGAGAGAGGCCGTTATTCCCCGACCGGGCATGGCAGAAACCTACGGGTGCCCAATTGAAATTCTGCCAAAATCCATTAACACACGTGTTTACCAAACCTACAGTTCCCTCCCCACAGTTAAAAAACAACCCAATGGCCTAAGTTGCCGCTGGTAAATCAATAAAAAAAAAATAAAAAAAAATAATATAAGTTACATAATATAATTGCATTTAAGTTTCATATTTTATAATTATTATAAATAAAAGTGTTATAATTTAAAATATCTCAAAATTATGTAGGCACTATTATATTATTATGATATTTATTTTAAATGTATAATAATAATTGTTTTATAGTTTTCAGTTAAGAAATATTTAATAATACGTATGCTTTGATATCACATTATGAAAATATATAGGTATCAAAGTTGCCCACTACGTTGTGTAACTTTGATAGCATATTAATAAGTTTGATATCTCAAAAGATAACACCAGAAATAATTAAAACATTAAAATATTGATCATAACTAGCTGTAACTAATATTTAATTTTGAGAGTTATATCATTAATACTACAGAAGTTATCCATAAAATAAAAAGTAATATTGTCATAAAACAGTAAAAAATAATCAAAGTTACCTCATTTTACTGTATTGAAACTAATTGCAGGGTCAGATCTGAGCTTATATCATTTTTGTATTATTGGTTAAATCATGATGGTTTTAATAATTCGAATCCTGGGATATAAATTAGGTAGTATAAAAGTGGTTGCAGAAAAACAAAGTTTTTAGTTTACATTTATTTACAAAAAATAGCTTCATAAACTGAATAAAATATTTTATTTTGTGTCATTTCTGTTTTTATAAGATCCACCACAAATGAGTATGCATTAAATGTTAAATAGATGGTGCCCTCTCCTATTATATGCTTTATTATTTTTATAGACATTTGAACAAAATTAGATTATAAATAAATAATTATAAGAAATTAGAAATATTTAAAAATATAAATATAATATAAAATATCCTATTGGCTGAGTGGCTGACCGTTTAGTAATAATATGATAAAATATAGTTAATACAGTCAGTGTTGTTAAGTATTTGAGTAAAACTATTCAAATAGGTAAGTACTTTTTTAATACTATTTTTTTGTTTTACTATTGAGTGCTTTTTTTTGTTCCTTTAATTCTTAATATGTTCTGTGTTGGTGGTACAGTGTGAAACCATCACTAAAAAAAAAAAAAAAATTAATAACATGGCTGATCAGAATTTTGACTATTGAACTCATGTTTTTGAAATGCAATAAGCAAGTTTTTGACTAAAATAAATTATTTCAGAACAATAGAATTTTTTTTTGTACCTACCTGTTTGAACATTATTTCAAATACTTGACTATAAATAGTATTTGTGTGGTATTTTAAATACTTTATTTTTAACAGTATTTTTTACAACACTGGACTTACACTTTATAGTTATAAGTTATAACATAAGGGGGTGAAACCATTAGGTGATTTCCCCCTCCCTCTAATCAATCCACATCCCATTTACTCATTGTCATGTAATTACAAATTGTAAATAAAATTTTTGTTGAATAAAAACATTTAGATTTAAATTTTTTTTTTTTTAATTATTTGTATATGACTAATCTCATTCACATCTACTTATTGTGCCATAATAGATCGTAGATTGCATTTAAAAATAAAAAAAAAAAAAGATTTAAATTTAAAAAAAAAAAAAAGTTATAACTTGAATTGGGTGACAGACCGTTTCTGCTCAGAATCTTTTTTTCATATACGATAGTATATCTGTATATCATTGAATTCGAATTTAACACATTCTACTCAAAACCTACCTACTGAATATCAGTATATCAGAGTGGTATCCACTTGCCCAGATTTTTAGTATTTTGCACAATAATTTCCCTGTGACCCAGCACGATTCAATAAAATATCCAAGTAAGAGTTCGGGAGTAATAGGTACTATAATCATGCATACTATACAAATTACAAAACAAATGTGAAGGTAACTGTTGATAACTGAGAAGTGAGAAGTATATTTTATACAATTTTATAGATCACCAAATACTAACTACCTCGAAAATTCTGTATATACGGAACTTCCATTTAACAATTTTCCGTTAAATAAAATATTTTTGAAAACCAAACCAAATGTATTAAAGGTTAAAGGTAAATCCTCTGCTACACGAATGCCTAATATCGGAACACGTACCATTGTTGTTGTTTGCGCGAAATCGTTGACAGAATATTATAGTAGGTATTTTATCGTCCGTGTCATATTCCACGCATGAAGTTATCAGTAATGGTAATTACTAGGGCACGGATGTTGTAGTACTAAAAAAATAGTAAAATTGATTGCAGTATTGCACTAAAAAATACCAAAAATTGCACTTAAAATATTAAAAATTGCACTAAAAAATAACAACGTTTTGTTATAAATGTTTTAAGTTTACTGTTATAAATTATAATCTAAAATTCTAAATAATTCAAAAAAAAAATATATACATTACATTATAATCATGCCATTATAAATTTATTATATTATACATCATTGCATCGTACTATAGTCCGTTCAAAATAAGAAACGTAGACGGCGGCCGACTTCTGCGCATGGGCGTGGCCTCACTACGCCTATCGAGCTTTTACACCGTCGCCGGCGAGAGCGTCGCCTCATTCTATTGTTGACCAGTGATGCGAACAAATAACTTAAAATGTATTGAACCGGCACGGCGCTGCGTTGGGCTGTATTCACCGTACGTCAGCGCAGCATACAACCTTTTTTTTATTATTATAAAACCATTTTTTTAAACTAAATTTTTTTTCGAGTTATTACCAGGTATATTACGTAAAAACATAAAATATAAAAACAAATTTAAACATAAAAATTATTTATTACAATACATAAAAAGATAAACAGAAATTAAAAAAAAAGTCAATAGGTAATAAAAAAAAAATATAAAAAATTTAAAAAAAAATTACTCATAATCAGAATCAGTTTCTCCCGTTATTGTTAAAACACAATGTTCCATTTGGTCAATTACTTCGTCCATGATATCGTCGACTTTCCAAATTTTCTCTTCTTCTCCGATGACATGTTTGATGAAATTTTGCCAATTTTCTGATGTCACCCTTTCAATATTAACTTATATGAATAACTGATGTATAATACCTAATTATTTAATAAACATAATAACACATTAAACTATTATTATTATTTATGTAACATACATCGACGAATATAAAATATTAAAAATGTTCTACTTACTTTTCCTTTTGGATTTTTTCTCTTTGGAGAAATAGTAGACAATTCATCTGGATCAGAAATATCACCAAAATCACTCATGATGAAAAAAAAATCTCTGTAGGAATAAAATTGTGAACACACGTTACGCTAAGCACGGTCGGAACACAATGAGACCGAATTCCACAATGAACGCTAATACATCGACAACGATCGTATATCAGCGGCCGTCGTCGGTAAAATAGACGCACGGTGGGAGAAACATCTGTCCGCCGCCGTCGAAAACTGGTCGCCGCCGTCTACGTTTCTTATTTTGAACGGACTATATAAGTGTTTGTTTTAAATTTTCGAAATCAAACCCTCTTCGATTTGGAGCTAGTAAGTTCTTATACGTCGGTTGATGTAAGCGGAGCGTATTTAAAATAAGATAAATCGCTTACTGTTAAGTCTTCGGGTAAACCATCGAACGATTTACTTTGTCCAGTTAGTATATCATTGATTTTAATAATGGTTTTAAGTCATATATAAGTTTTAATATGGCTAAAATAGTTGTATAAATGAGTAAATTCGACAAAATTGCAATAAAATTGAAAAAATCCCAAAAATTGCAAAAAATTGCACTTAAAACTTTTAGATTTGAATTCGTACTTACATGAAACGTATTTAAAACTTACTTAGAAATTAATTGAAAAAGTAGAAAAAAAGTTGCAAATGCAACATCATCCGTGCCCTAGTAATTACCAACATAATTATTATGTTACCTGTACGGACATCGCACCCCGGACACACGTCGTCTATATGTTATTTCGGTACACCACGAAGAACATAAAACAAACAACAAAATTATTATTACTTATCTGGCATGTCGTATTAATATGTGCTAAAATGCTAAATTAGTTGTGTCGATCATACAACGCACAATACGTCAGAACACATACCATTATTAATTATTATGTATTACCATTGTTGCTGTTCGCGCGATATCGTTGACAAAAGTCATAGCTTTTTGGTGTCTATGTTTTTTTCCACCTATGAAAATATTTAACTCGATAATTATGTTACCGGTACGGACACCGCACACGTTGTT